AGGTAAGCTTTTGATACCAAGAAAAAGTATGTTTTTATGTTAATTTTTGAAAAAAAAAACATGATTTTATATACATGTATTGAGAAATCCATGTGTATAAGGTTTAAATGTGGAATTTAGGTAAGGATAATAGTTTTGGGGTGGGGGGCGAGGGGAATGAAGTGGAAATCGACGGAAATGGAGTTTTCCGACAATCTCCCGTAGCTGGGCAGTCTGGGCGCCCAGTTGACTGGGTCACTGTGCCCAGACAACCCAGTCAACTGGGCGCCCTGGGCCGCTAGTTATCGGGGACAGCCCAGACAATTTTTTTTTAATTACATATTATTTATTTCCTTTAATTATTGAAGTTAATTATTAGTGTTGTCTAATATTTAATGCTTTATTTGAATTGTTTAATTTTAATGTATATTATGTATTTAAAATTATTTCTTTGAAATACTTAATATAAATGTTTTATTATTTATCAAAATATTTATTATTTGCTAATTTAGTTTAATTACTTATTTTATGTTAAGTAATAGTAAAATAATTAAAAGAAATAATTAAATATTAAATAAGTAATATGGAGTTTGCCGGAAATGAAGTTTTCCGACATTCTCCCGTAGCTGGGCAGTCTGGGCACCCAGTTGACTGGGTCACTATGCCCAGACGACCCAGTCAACTGGGCGCCCTGGGTTGCTAGTTATCGGGGACAGCCCAGACAATTTTTTTAAATTACATATTATTTATTTTCTTTAATTATTGAAGTTAATTATTAGTGTTGTCTAATATTTAATGCTTTATTTGAATTGTTTAATTTTAATGTATATTATGTATTTAAAATTATTTCTTTGAAATGCTTAATATAAATGTTTTATTATTTATCAAAATATTTATTATTTGCTAATTTAGTTTAATTACTTATTTTATGTTAAGTAATAGTAAAATAATTAAAAGAAATAATTAAATATTAAATAAGTAATATGCATAAAGAATTTAAATTAATATTTAAACATTTGTAAAATGATAAAAATAAGCAATTAAATTTGAAAATTAAAATATCAATCAAATTAATTTTTTGCAAAGCAATTTAAATAAATTTTTAAATATCAAATAAGCAATATGCATAAGGAATTAAAATAAGTATTTAAACATTAATTAAAAATAAAAAATTAAACTAAGTGTTAGTAAAATAATTAAAATAAGCAATTAAAAGATTAAAATAAACGATCAAAATAAGTGTTAGTAAAATAATTAAAAGAAATAATTAATTATTCAATAAGCAATATACATAAAGAATTTAAACATTTATAAAATAAAAAAAATAAGCAATTAAATTAGGAAATTAAAATATCAATCAAATTAATTTTTTGCAAAGTAATTAAAATAAATTTGTAAATATGAAATAAGCAATATGCATAAAAAATTAAAATAAGTATTTAAACAGTAATTAAAAATAAAAAATTAAATTAAGTGTTAGGAAAATAATTAAATATTTAAACATTTGTAAAATAATAAAAATAAGCAATTAAATTAGGAAATTAAAATATCAATCAACAAAAAATAATAATTTATGTTCATTTCCTTTATTTCGTTATCGGTTGATTATTACATATAGTATCAGTGTGTTAATTTATTTTTGTAATATTTTTATTTATCAATTACCTATCAATAAAAATTTTGGTTTATCAAACATCATTTACATAGGGTTCTAATATTTGAAATTTTGCAAGATGTAATATCATCTGGACAACGCTGTCAGACAGATCTCTGGTAAAGTTACGTCTAATTGTAACTTTACCAGCTTCACTTTGGTATTAGATTTGCTGGATGACGAGCACGCGGACATATTACGCCGATCATGCTTATAGTCATTGTATTCGTTGCGTGATGTACAGTGGTCTGGGCAGCTGCTCGATGCCCTGCTTTGTCAGTTGTTGAAGCCAATTGATGGAGACGCCCTCTATTTTGATCTTGGAGGCAAGGTAGCGACGTTTTTCATATTTGAGTTTGCCCTTATCACTGGATTGCGATGTACGAACGAAGAAGAGGCGAGGGCCTGTGTTTCGAGGAACAAGAGGTTGTTGAATGAATATTTTCGTGGACAGACGACAATTACTCTAGCGCAGTTGGGAGATGCATTAAGGAGATGTGATCAGATGTCTGACAGGCTGAAGCTGGGCTTGGTGCTTATCATCGAGAGCGTACTCCAATGTCATCATAAGAATGCATCGATTGACATTTTCCATTTGGAGGTTGTTGATGATATTGATGCTTTCAACAACTACCCATGGGGCCGGAGATGTTTTCTGTGTTCAGGAGGAGATTTTCGATGCCTAAAGGGGATAAGCCCGAGCGCAAGTACGATGTATATGGACCACCACTAGCGCTGCATGTATATGTTTAAATTAATGAATTACCTACGCTTTTTTCCTTGAATTCTATACATCATAATTGTAATTGCTACAGATATGGGTGTACGAGATTGTCCCCATCTTGGCCAGTTGGTATGCGAGGAGAGGGAAGACACGCTGCCTCGGATGCATCACTGGCGAGCACAAGACAAGTCGCTTGCCAGACAATTATCAAGAGGTACATATTATACATTTGCAATTTATGTTGTATGTCCTTTTACAATCTTAATACATAGTTATTAACTGTGAATGTCAAAATGTCAGTTTGAAGTTCTCATTGAGTTGCACCGTCGATCGAGGAGGAGAGTCAGTTTTATATTCACGAATTGTCTGCTCCGACTATGCATGACGATCAGATGCCTGAGTCCATAGTGGATCAAGACAGGGTATGTTACTGTGCATGATTTGTATAATATCGCTTTGATCTTGTAATTAAGTGCTTCACTTGTAATATTTATTTTTCAGGAGAGTCGTTCAGTATTACCTACGTCGAGGATGTCACCTCCGTCGAGAAGATCACGTCCAGCTACACCAGAGGTTCAGATAACTGAGTCCAGCATCGATCAAGCTAGAGTACGTTATTTAAAAATAATTTATTCATTGTCCTTTCAATTTTTGTGTTATTCATTTGTAACAGTTATTTTTTCAGGAGGGCCGTCCAGTATCACCTCCTACACCTAGTCACCGTGTTTCTACGATTGATTTGTTTGAACTCCTGACGGAGATGAGAGGAAACATGGTAGAGTTATTGGATGATGTCGCGACGCTACGAGCCAGGTATGGAGATTTGGCAGAGTTACAATATGATGTCGCGATATTACGAGCTGGGTTAGAAGGCCTCATACTGAGATTGCAGCGATACGTGGCGACATAGCATGCCTGCGTGGGACGAGCAACTATGAGGATGGAGGAGACAAGGCCGGCCCTAAGAAATTTGAGACCCTAGGCGACTAATAATTATGAGACCCTTATACATATCAAAACACGATATGTTATTGTGTTCACATCTTCCAGAAAAAACACTAACATACGATAACAGACAATATACCTTATGGAATTAAGCCCCCGTTTGGCCCCCATTAAATTACATTCCATTAGATTATATTTTTCTCTCTCCTATTTTCAACCATACAATCTTTCATCAAATAATATTACAAGTAAATCAAAATTTTTTCCTTCTTTTTCAACCACTCATTTTTCAATAAAATACTATTCCACCCATTTTCATTACCAATAAATGGGGGCCAAACAGGGGCTAAACATGCTGTGAAACGATGTATTATTTTGCATTTTTTACTAATTAATAATAAATCTTTGCATTACTATGTAGGAATATGATATAAGTTGTTGAATTCGCCATTTGAGAAAGCAACTGTAACATATTGGTGTATAACATACAAAGAAACTTATGGAATAAAATAGAATATGAAACCATGTTACACTACACATGTTTTCACTATTTTTTAACATTTAAAAACTAAATAGCAAAATATCAAAATTGGATTATCATCTTGTTGAATCATGGTTCGACATAGTGTCTTGATCTCTTGTACATCCGATAGAGTTTTTGAGCAACTATTCAAAATCCCATAAATATATATTACATGATGATATATAAATGTATATTATATACCAATCAATACTTAAATTAAATATTTATAAATAAATAATAGATGACGAAATAATACTTAGAAGTACAAGAACTATATATATGGGTTCCAATTGTTATGGAAATCCGATCTTCCCAAATTTAGGCTTAATTACACGAATTTATTGTCATATTCAATTTGACCAATTATTATGGAATTGTTTTGAAAGATTTTCCATTTATGCGGAGTCAGGGTTAGTTTCCTTAATTAACGCTATACATAGATTCCAATTGTTATGAAAATTTAACCCAAAATTCAAGTATTATGGGAATAAAATCTTCATAATTTTAGAATTTCTTCCTTTTTGTAGGATACATTGGAAAATTTCCCTTTCTTTTTTCTTGGAGGTCCCTAGAATGTTGAGGCCCAAGGCCATTGCCTAGTTGGCCTTGGGTCAGGGCCGAGTTTGGGAGGAGATGGCGGAGCGACAAGTCGGTACTGGAATGGAGAGGGTGACGGAAGAACTGGCAGCTATTGGGACGGAGGGGCTAGCGGCTATCATGACGGAGGGGTCGATGGTTATCACGGGGGAAGGAGTCAGATGGGGTATGTTAACTCATCGTGGCCATCGGTTGCTGCATTCGATTCATTTTTTAATGACACAATGGGGACGGAAGAGACGAAGAGGATACTGGAGGAGGAGAGGGTACCCGAGGATGCCGTGGGGGTACCAAAGGAAGAAAGGGTAGTGGAGGTTGAGGTGGTACCCGAGAGGACGTCACCCGAGATAGAGGGGATACCTGAGAATGTGGGGGTGCCCGTGCAGGGGATACCCGGGGGCTAATGAATGAAATGTTTAAATAGTATACATAAATAATGTGGGTAACAAATGAAACTAATGAATGAAATGTTTAAATAAAAAAACTAAATTTAACAATTAACATAAATAATATGCATAAATAATTAATGATAATGTTATAAATAATTACATTGTCAATAATTATTAACAAATGTAAAATTACACTTCAGTTACACTGTCATGCAGAGGAATCTGACTTGTACAATATCTTCTAGTATGCCCTGTTGCACCGCAACTACCGCACTTACGAGGCTGGAAAAACTCTCCGATAGATGGTATTCTAGACATACGTGTACGTCCAGGAGTACATGGTCCAACTGTTGGAGGCAACAAGTTATTCAGTGGGAGAATGTGGTCGGGAACTTCCCACTCGACTTCGTTTGGTACAGGAAATATTGTCTCCATATACGCTGCTCTCCAATAATCAGTTATGTAATATGCACTGCATAAGATGTGTGGTGAAAATCCTCTATGCATAGCCACTGTCACTGTATATGTACACGGAAAACTCTCCAACTGAAACTGTCTACACGTGCACAAATGATAATGATGTATCCGAAATTACATGCACATCTCACGGAGAAGCGAAACTGATCCAGTGGTTCTACATATACCTTTCTCCCCACATCTAGAGTTTTGAAGAGTTTATCTTCCTGAGCCGGGATTAGCACACTTGTACAACTCTGTGATTCCTTACGTCGATCATGAAACCACTGTTGTAGCTTGTCACGAATGTTCTCAATCATTGCGAGAATTAGTAACTCTCGATCTTTCTTGAATAAAGCGTTAAGCGACTCTGCATTGTTCGACGTCATCACGTTGTATTGACGTCCTGGGAAGTGTGATTGTGCCCAATGTTCGATCCCCATCTCTGTTAGATACTCTCATGCAGTATGCGATTTACTGTCTATTTTGATCATGAACTTCTCAAACTCTTCAAAATTGTAAGCTTCTGCAGCTTTCCTAAACAATGCAACGATGCCCTTGTCTCGATACCTAGTTTTCAGGTTTCCCTGTATATGGTACATACAATAACCATGATGTGCCTCGGGAGAGACTTTGACGATACCATTTATTATTGACCGCCATCGACCGGTTACGAATGCAAGGTTTTCGACATCCCCAATTACTTCCTTCAACTTCATGAAAAACTAACTCATCGCTAGATCATTTTCTCCGTCAACCATGTCGAACGCAAGAGGGCAAATTTGGATGTTGGCATCTTGACATGTTGCAATAATCAATTACCCCCATATCTTGCCTTAAAGGTTGTACCGTTGACTAGGATTAGGGGTTGTATTGCGTTTCGAAATCCTCGAGCACATTGTCCAATGACCATAAAGAAATACTTGAAGTGATTATCGTCATCCTTCACAATAAAAAGTGTCGATCCAATATTAATTCTTCCCATGTTATAGTAATACCTAGCCAATGTAAATAAACAATAATCATAATTTAGATAATCTATTCAATATGAAATGAATAGAAAAATAAACAATTCAATTAAATAATTAATTACATATCAAATAAACAATTGAATTACATAATTACATAAACAATTGAAATAAAATAATTAACAATTAAAATAACAAAGAAATAAACACATAAACAATGAAATACCTGGCCAATTTAGCATAACTCTCCTCGGTCGAGCCCGTCAAATCCTCCAATGCACATTTTTTGGTCTTCCAAACCTTCGATAGCTCATAACTACACCGTACTCTCGTCGAACGTCATTAATGATGTTCGAGGGTTTGTAGATCGTTCGTAGGTCCTGAAACTTGTGCATTATTTCTCGACCAATGAACAATGATCCAACTTGCCTATGATCATTTCAACGAATACCTACTTCGCAAGTATGTTCCCGTGCATACTTACGAACTACAAAGAATTCATTCGTGTATATTTTCGTCGCTCACAAACGCTAATGACAACTGTCGTCAACACAGATAATTGTATACATCGACTTGTTTGATTTCTTCACTTTAAACTCGAAGTTATGCCTTAAAGCAATCTGGTGCACAACTTCTTGCAATTCTTTCTTTGATTCGAACAGTTGCTCGACATACACATCTTCATCATCGAGAATCACACGTGAACAATTAGAGGACCGTGTATTCGGTCCGGCCTGTGAGCTCCCACCCGACTCATGTCTCCTATGGGATAAAGCAATCAAATCCTTGTTTGTAAATGCGTTTCATTCTCGTTGTCTTCAACTGTCGATGAAATTCTGTATGTAACAATGTAATCATGGTAAGTAGCAGTGGTCTTGGGAATAACCACATCATCTTCACGAACAATCTGAATTGTATCCCAAACATCATTTACATTACGATTCTCCTCATCGAAAACTTCGTGTTCACCATCGGGGGCATTCTTCCTCAATAAAGTTACACAAATAGGAGTCGACTTTCGACTTTGGTTCAATTTAATTAGACGCTTTATCTCCACTTCAGAAGTAACTTTCATAGGTGGAATCGAAATGGTTGAATGCTTATGAAACAAAAATTCCAATTCCATATCGTACTGAAAGGGATCAACGTTAAACATGTTTTATATATCATGGTACATTTTTGTAGACGATGTACATGTGTTATAAAAATTGCTTTAACCTCATTTCCTTCACTCGTCCATTTCCATTCCTATTGAGTATTTTTATTCTTCTGAATTTCATCGAAGTAAAAAATTGTGACACATGTTGATGTCATATCTGTCACAAATTAAAAATATTAGATAATAGATTAAATATAAGGAATTAATATATAATTTTTTAAATTGTTCTTTTCATATTTAATTTAATTTTATAGTTATGATAATTCATTGATTATTTTAATTGTTTCAAAAATATTTATTTCAATTAGTATTAAATATTAATTAATATTTACTTCAATAAACTACATTAAATATGAACAAATAAATTATAAAATATTAAACATTAAAAAAATAAATAAATAACCAAAAAAATTTAAAAAAGGGCAGCCCGGACTTTCTAGGCTGGATGGAAACAACCGGGGCTAGTTGGAAAAGGTCGCCCCGGACGTCTGGGTAAGCTGAATTTTTTTTTCAACGAAATACTATGAATTTTTCCTAAAATAATATGAATACAGATAAATTTTTTTCTTTGTTTTTGTTAAAAAAATAATACATTTGCATTTAATAATGTAATAATTCATCTGCCTTTGTTGAAATAAGATTTAAAGATTCAAACAGTATACTATTTTAACTAAAATGAAATTAAAAATAGTTATTTACACTTACCAATTTCGAGTGCCGATTGTGAATAATGGTTTTTTGTTGAACTTTTGATATTTTGTGAGATTTCAGTATTCTAGCAGATGGAAGAGGAAATTTCTTTTTAACTATATTAAAAAATTGATAAGTAAAATTGATTTTGAAATTTATGTGAGGAAGTGATTGAATTTATTTAAACTTGTAAGGGTATTATTGTTTTTCCAAAAATTAACAAATTTTTGTACTTATGAAACATAATAGGGGAAAATTGTCTTTTTCAACACAAGAGGCCAATATGGTGAATGAAAAAAACAATGGTCAAAATACAAAACTTGTTATTTTACTCGGCCAATTTGAAAAGTACCCCGTCCTTCTACCAAAATTTTACCGTAACGCCCTCCGCCATCCTCTGCGCTCCCACTTTTCTTCTGCTACACATATCACTAACCCTAAATAAGAATAATTTCTCACTTCCGGGCTCTTGCGCATTATTTTCCATTACGGATCCGTAACGTGGTAAGACTCCTTTTTCGTCTTTAATTTTCCGTTTCCAGTTCGATTGTAGCCTCTAGGATTATTTTCAAATAGCCAAGAGAAAGCAAGATACTTGAGTGATTAATCTGGTCTTAATCATTGATAAGTGTTTGCTGTCTGCTGATTAGCTTGTTTTCAGATTTATTATTATTATTATTATTATTATTATTATGGGGGTGGCGCGGGAGGTTTATAACCTATGAAATTAAGCTAATTCTGGGAAATTTTAGGGTACCCTTGCAAGAGAATGGAACATCTTATCTGCATACTTTATTCCGTTGAACCGTATTCTTGAAAGTACAATAAGTCACATAAATTCATGTCAGTAAAATTGTTTCAAGGACATAACATGGCTAGGTGCGAAGTTCATGTACTCTAAGATGAACGTTGCGTTTTGTGAAGCATTGTACAATTAATAATATGATAAATATTAAAAGAACGTTCTTATCGGATTTGCTTGTACAACTGTAACTGAAATAATAGCTTTAGTAGCATTGCCACTGAGGACCTTCAATGAATTATGCTGAAAATGAACCTCGACAGCAATCTGAATCTATGTTTTAACAGTTTGAATCTGTTGCTGATGTCTACATATATTCTGCATTATGTCTTCTTAAATTAATTTCTTACACTAATATAAACTCCAGGTATTACTTCAATGATTCGATTGGTCCTATCTCACGGTGGAGAGTTTAGCCATGACAATAACTCGTGGAATTGGAATGGAACGAAGACCACATCTCTTCTGGTAAAAAGAAATATAAAATACAAAGAACTGCTTGATAAAGTGATAGAGCTTCTCCAAGTTGATTGTAGTCTTTTCAAGGTTGTGATGAAGTTTAAGGTCCCTGGAATGTCAGATATGTCTATACCTCCTGCTGAGATATGCAAGGATGATGATGTTGATTGGTATATTTCGGTATACCAGCAAACCCCACTGTGCGTTAGTACTATAAGAATGATTACAATGGAGTCAACACAAGTTGTTGAAGTGGGAACTAATCAAATAACTGTTGAGGCCCCTAAGATAGAATGGTCGCGTGAGCATGTTTCTGATGCACAATTTAACCAACATTACAACAATGAAGGAAATTTCAATGCATTTAATTCAGCTGATCACAATTGTCCGCGAGAACCTGGTCCTGTGAATCAGCTATGCGACATCGATGATGTCCACGGTGGCATTGAGGATGATTGCATGATTGGAGTGGATATTATATCTGATAACCACGATGGTGCTCATGAATCTGCAGATCATGCTTCTATTGACAGTACACCTAGTGCTGCCCAGGTTGGCAGCACTGGTGGTAGTAGCATTCCATTTGATGCTACTGTTGAGTCAGGTATTGACACTGGAGATGTTCAGGTCAACAAACTATACAAGAGTAAGAAAGAGTTGCAAACAAAGTTGCATATGCTTGCACTAAGAAAAAATTTTGAGTTCAAGGTAAAGAAGTCAAATAAGAATATTTTTACAGTGATTTGTATCAATGATGACTGCCAGTGGCGCTTGAGGGCAACAAAGCTCAGGGAGTCGAACTTCTTCTTAGTTCGGAAGTTTTCATGTCAACATACATGTTCTTCAGATTTTGGGCATAATAGCCACAGACAAGCTAGCAGCTGGGTTATTGGAAGACACATCATGCAGAAGTTGCGAGAGCCGAACCAATCATTGAAACCAGCTAGCATCATTGACTTCATGCGACAAGAGTTTGGTATCAATATAAGTTACCAGAAGGCCCGAAAGGCTGTGGAGCATGCGCTTGAGCTTATTAGGGGCTCACCGGAGGAAAGTTACCAGAAGCTGGCTTCATATTGCTACATTCTAGAAAAGAATAACCCTGGCACAACTACGTGTATCGAGACTGACAGTGAGAACCGTTTCATGTATTTCTTCTTGACATTTGGTCCAAGTATCCGGGGTTTCCATTCATTTATGCGACATGTTGTATGTGTTAATAGTACCTATTTAAAATCTAAGTACCGTGGGACTTTGCTTAGTGCCACGTGTCAAGACGGCAACATACAAATGTACCCTATAGCATGGGGTATAGTGGAATCTGAAAATGATGCATCATGGCTGTGGTTTATGTTGAAGTTACGAGAGCAAATTGGTGAGTCTGATCAACTTGTGTTCGTTTCTGATCAAAATAACAGCATTGCTAGTGCGATAAAAACTGCATTTCCACAATCTCATCATGGGTATTGTATGGGGCACATGGAAAATAACATAAAGTCAAAGTTTCACACGACTGGCATCTTGTCTTTGTTCAAGTCAGCAGCTCAAGCTTATTGTGTATCAGAGTTTCAGAGCTTAATTGGAGATATTTACAGGAAGAATGAAACTGTTGGCACATACCTGGAGGATACAGGTTTTGAGTACTGGTCTCGAGCACACTTTAAAGCTAATCGGTACAACATTATGAAAATAAATAATGTCGAGTCCTTAAATTCATTGCTGAAGCACCAACGAGATTATCCAATTACTGCATTGATAGAACATATTCGAACATTTATGCAACAATGGTTTTTTGAGAGACGCACTGAAGCAGAAGAGTGCATGACCCCGTTGACCCCAAGACTAGAGGATGATTTCCGCAAAAAGATTGATGCAACGGCAGTGTTGCAAGTGCAGCCGGTAACACTTTATGAGTTTCACGTCGGTATGGACACAAATATGCATGTTGTGAACCTTGCAGAGAAGAGTTGCACTTGCAAGGAGTTTGACTTATTACAACTTCCATGTGAGCATGCACTTGTGGTTTCAAGGTTGAGAGGGGTAGCACTCGACACATTGTGCTCCCCATATTACACAACTCTCTGCTGGAGAGAAGCTTATGCTGAACCAATACATCCAGTAGACAACGAAAAGGACTGGCAGATCCCAGAGGAGGTCCGAACAAGGGTTATCTTACCTCCATCCATGCGGTGACCTTATAGATGACCAAAAAGAAAAGGTTAAGGTGGACCGTTTATACATAACAATAGAAACTCTTCACATTAAAACCATAAAGGACAATCAAAATAATTCTTTTTCTTGATGAATGCTTGAGCTTTTGTGAATGCATATTTTATTTGTTGGGTGACCTTTTCGATATTCAGAAAAAAATTCTTATTTTCTATATTTACTTTTACTTTTTGTGTCATTCTGTCACTAGCCATTAGTTTCTTCCCGTCCCTGTGTCGCCTTATTACTTCCTTTTGAGAATTTAGCTTGAATGTATTCCAATTAACCAGAAGCACTGAAAAGAAATAAATCTTGCTTTTTGTTGATTTTGAAACAAATCTAGTATGTATACTTGTCTATGGGGTGATCTAAAGGACGGGCTGCTATAGACTTTTGTTTGTGTATATGGGCCAATTGCACTAATATGTGATTTACCTTTATTAATGATTGGTCAGAAGCCGTTTGGGCTATAATAAATCTAATCACACTGGTAGCAAAGAATTTATTGATGGTGCTATGCCTGGGTAGTAAAAATTTCACGGCATAACCAATGACCAAGTTGTTTGGGGTTTTGCAGCATACAAAAACCAGATTTAATAACACCTAAACAGTTCTGATTGAGATTTACTACAATATTACTACCGGACTTGATTTTCTTGAATTTTTCCAGAGCTTTGTAGGTGTAATAGTATTTCATTTACTAATGTCACTATATTGTCTTCACTGGAAACCTAATACTATATTTATGGAAATTCTTGTAGATATCACTGTTCTTAAATATAATTCAACTTTCAGAAGTTTTAGATTTCCTTTTTCATATTGCAGAAGTTTGCACTTGTTCTTTTGTATAGAAACTTCCTCTCCCGAATCCTAATATGTGCGTCTCCATTTCTTTGTTTTGTAGACTGCAGCAGTATGCTTTGGCTTGGTACCTGCCCCTCCTGTAAAGCAGTTATTGATTACTAATTACACTTGCTATCAAGTAGTACAATCTAGTAACATGGCAATCGAAGAGGAACCCGAAGTCTATTAGACAATCTTTCCCAGTAAGTCTGCTTTAGCATCTTTGCTAAATTGAGAGATCAGTGCTGTATTTGCAGTCATGGGGAAGAAGGTGAGTAAAGGGGAGAATTCTGCAATTGGTAATACTGCATATTTTGTAAAAGAAAAGGAGCAGTTTTTATGATAAATCATAGCATCACATTTTGTTTTGTCACATTGATGAAGCTCTTATTGTACATATTCTTCTGGTTAGACTTTTAGATTTAGAATTGATGAAGCATGTTTTATTATTTGTGAATATTGAAAATTGCACTTGGGTTGTACATATTCTTCTGGTTAGACTTTTAGATTTAGAATTGATGAAGCATGTTTTATTATTTGTGAATATTGAAAATTGCACTTGGGTTGTACATATTCTTCTGGTTAGACTTTTAGATTTAGAATTGATGAAGCATGTTTTATTATTTGTGAATATTGAAAATTGCACTTGGGTTGTACATATTCTTCTGGTTAGACTTTTAGATTTAGAATTGATGAAGCATGTTTTATTATTTGTGAATATTGAAAATTGCACTTGGGTTGTACATATTCTTCTGGTTAGACTTTTAGATTTAGAATTGATGAAGCATGTTTTATTATTTGTGAATATTGAAAATTGCACTTGGGTTGTACATATTCTTCTGGTTAGACTTTTAGATTTAGAATTGATGAAGCATGTTTTATTATTTGTGAATATTGAAAATTGCACTTGGGGGTTATTCTTGGCTGCATGCAAAAATTGTTTGGGTTACAAAAATGTGTTTATTCACATTGTTTTTACATTATTCAGGCAATGAATATATTGCTGAATTATAGTAGAAATGCTGGAGCTATGATGCACAAACACGTGTTTGACACGATAAGTGTTGGATACGTCGACACACGATTTTTTAAAAAAGTATTGATACGACATTTCGTCGACATATTGATTAAATTCTTTAAAATTCTTTTTTTATATGGTATAAGCCACCTTTGGTTTCCATTATTTGAGATTTTAATTTCTGGACTAATATTTCTTGGAGAATGAGTAATTGAAAATGAAGAAAAATTTTTCAGTTTATGTGTAATATTATTTTATTGGAGACTGTGTGATTAGAGAAGAATGTGTTAAAATTTTTAGGGAGGCCAAACAATAGATAAATTTAATTTTATACTTGTTATCATTTTTTTTTTTTTTGGGAAATATTGCCCCGTTTGATCCCCATTTTTTTAGAAAATGAATTCTTCAACAGTGTTTTGACATAATTTTAACCACACATTCTTCAATAAAATAATATTACACGCAAATTCAAAACTTTTCTTTATTTTTTAACCACACATTTCACATCAATACATTATTCAAAAATTCATTTTTCCCATCAAAATGGGGTTCAAACAAGGGCATTATTTACTAATAACTTTGAGTTAAAAATTTATAATATTTTTAATAAAAAATGAAAAATGATTATGGTAGAGTGTTTGAAGAGTGTTGGTATGGACACGTATTGAACATAGACATGTTACTCTAATTGAAGTATTTGTGTAATAGTGTTGCAGAAAATTTTATTTTTGTTACAAATTAATTTTGGATAATAATTTTAATGATTTCAAAGCCCAAAAGGAATTATAATCAACTGTTGAAATTTAAGAAAATTAGGAGAGATCTTTACAAGTGAAAAATGATTATATATATATATATATATTTATTTATTTATTTATTTATTTATTTATTTTTCAAATGTGTGATTAAAAAACAGAGCAAATATTTCTCATCCCGAAAGGAAAGTCAATTTAAAAAAAATAAAATAAAATTATCATCAAATATTTGTTTCCCTTGTGTTGTAATTATTCTTATACCTCAAACATAATCAAGGCATAAATTTGGAGACTAATAATACATTTTAGATTGCTTGCCTAGATATGGTTCCATTTAAATAGGGACGTGGTTGCAAATTTATGAAAAATTGGAGATACGTATGTCATAAATTAAAGGTTGTGGGTAGAAGCGCAAAAGGGTTAAAAGATTTTTAAAATAAAAAGAATTATTATTTCGTGAAAATTCTCAAGAAAGAATGAAACGTGGGCAATCTTTCTCTGTTCAAAGGAATGGAGCTCCGCTTTAACCCGACAATGCAACAAGCCCGACTGAAGCGGATCCACTATAAACCGGAGGAAATTGTTGGAAATGATCGGATAACCCATCCCTATTTCCAAAGTAACCTTTAACCGCCTTTTTAATTAAAAAAAAATCGAATTTAAAACTTAAAATCCCAAAATACCCCTCGGCTTCTCACAATACTGAAAAAAGCAAGGTCGATTTCCAGTCGGTCGGAGAACTTGCTAGTCCATCGCCGACGAACTACTTCTTGTTAAGGTAACCATTATTTGGTTGGATTAATGTTTAGATTTTGGTTAAAGGTGTGAATGATTTATTTGTTGGAGATTTTTTCAATATATTTTTGTTTATATAAGTAAAATAGGGTTATATAGTGTAAAAAATGGTTGGTTTTTTGAATTTCGAAGCTTTTCTCGTTGAAAAATCACCTGAAATGATGATTTTCCGGCGAGAAAGGTTGAAGAAGGCCGGCTGCTAGTGCAGCCGGCATTTTTGGCTTACACCCGACTGTTAATAATCGGGTAACAGTCGGTATAATAGTCGACCCATACCGACTATTAGCAGTCGGCCGCCCAAACCAACTGCAGTTTGGGCAGACTGTCAGTCTGACTGTTGGCCCATTTTTATTTTTATTTTGCCCAATTTTTTTTTCACATGTAATTTAATAATTTAATTTTAAATATTTATTATTATTTGGTTTTAATAAATAATAAATTATTTAGTTTGTCGAATTTAAATAAAATTGTTACGACTAAATTTAAATATAATTTTTACATTTAATTTTTGTTTTAATATTTATTTTTATTTTTTCGTTTTTGGTAAATAATAATTTGAAATAATTGTTGAAAATTTAATTTGAAATTTAATATTTAATATTTAATATTTATTTTTATTGTTAGTTTTTCATAAATAATATTATTTTCATTCATTGAATTTAAATATTTTTTGAACTTGAATTGATTAAAAAATTGTGATAATTGAGAAAAATTGACATTATTGATAATAGGATAAAAAAATTCACATTATTGATGATTTTAATTATTATGAATCTGCGTCTTGTGTATTGTAGTTACAATTTCGTTCGCTAAATTTTCTGTTATTACTATTATCACTTGTACAATGTTCTAACATTTTGAATTTTTACGGAATGGATTATCATCTTGACGCAGAGTTGAGACAGATGACAGGCAAAGTTACGTAGAATAGTAGTTTTGATAGTTTCACAGCTGTGTTAGAGCTACTTGATGATCAGCATGCTGATATGTTGCGCCAATCCTTCCTGTGGCCCTTGTACCCGTTGAGAGATCTGTAGTACTTGAGTTAGATTACTGATGCACCTCTATGTTGATTGCTGAGTCTAGTCGACAGCGATGTCCTCCACTTCGCAAACAGGGGTAAAATTGCCAGTTTTTCGATGTTCGAGTTTGCTATGATCACGAGATTAAAGATTACGGGCGATGAAGCAATTGGTGATGGGACTCAGAGAAGAAATAGGCTTCATGATGCTTACTTCGAGGGACAGGGTACTGTGCTTCCTACACAGCTGTTGGACGCAATCAGGAGGTGTGATCAGATGTTAGACAGACTAAAGTTAGGTCTGGTCTACATCCTTGAGAGCGTGGTGCTGTGTCACCATAAGAAGACTGCGATTGACCTCTTCCATCTGGAGATCGTTGACGACATCGATCGTTTCAACGACTATCCGTGGGGCCGGAGATGTTTTGAGGACACTGTACACGTATTTACCAGATCGCACTCGAAGAGAAAGGGAGCCATACGTAAGTACGACACCTATGGATTGCCCCTAGCGGTGCAAGTAAATGGTTAATATAATGAATGTTAAAATTATTTTCATATTGAATTTATATATAATAATTGTATGTGTTGCAGATTTGGGCGTATGAGGTCGTCCCCATATTGGATGCCCGCTTTGTGAGGCGAGGGGAGACATGCTGCACTCCGATGCACCATTGGAGAGCATCTTGATCGGAGGGATGTCCCACTGGGAAACAGTTATCGGCTATCCTCGACGACCCTTAGGTGAGTATTATGTATTTGTAATTTATATTGTGTGTGATTTAACTTCTGATTGCATGATCGTTAACTAGTTCAAATGTTAATATGTCAGCTTGAAGTCATAATTGAGTTGACGCCGTCGATGGAGGAGGAAGCTCAGGGTCTTGTGCGTTAATTAGGCGTTTCGCACACCCAAGACGACCAGATGTCCGATTCGATCCACGACCGAGATTGGATGAGCGAATTGAATAAAATCTATTGATTACCGTTTTGTACGAGTTAGCAATTACGGATTAAGTTAATAATTTGTAATGTTGTTGCTTGTGTAGGAGTGTGATCCAGTTGATCGACGATCACCTCCGTCGAGGACATCACCACCTCTGCCGTCGAGGGCATTTCCTCTGCCTCCCCAGTCCAGAGACCTTTCATGTGGATCTCCCACACGTAGTCAGAGGCACTATTTTGATGATCTGTACGCCCGTCTGAGTAGATTTATAGCGGGGCAGGTCGACGGGCTGCGTCGAGAGATGATAGAGAGGGTTGATGATCTGGGATGAAGGTCGAAGGTTTGTCGAATGAGATTGCAGCACTTCGAGGTGATATAGACGGTAGGCGATGGGTTGACGGAGACGGTGATTGAGGGGGTGATCGAGAGGGTGATAAGGATGGGGGTGATAGAGATAGGGGTCTTCGACAGTCATACACACATGATGATGATGATGCATGAGAATCGTTTATTTTATCTGTGGAGAGCGATGGGACGGGGGCAATGGCAGAGAAGGGAGGCCCGTCGGGGAGGGAGACGGTGGCAGATGAGGGAGTGGCCCCGTCGGGGACGGAGACAGTGGCAGATGAGGGGATGGAGGAGGTGGCAATCCTTGGGGTGGAAGAGGTGACAGTGTATAAGGTAGAAAAGCATGTTGTTGACATGTCGGAGACGGCGGTCGGCAAGAGGCCGAGAGTGCCGTCACAGCACGTCGTCTCTCCTTTCACGGCTGAGGCGAAGAGAAGGAGGTTCGTCGATGGGATGTACCCCAATCTATTTCGAGAGGTCGACCATGCCAAGTGGAAAGCATTTGAGGCTAAGTGGCGAAAAATGTTGCCCGGGTAAGTATTATATGATTTAGTAGACTACCAGAACTCGTATATGCTTTGTTTAATATTTTTTCTATTTTATCCAGAGCCACGCACATGATAGCCGGAAAGACGATATTGGATGTATAAAAGTGGTTCCATGATGTCACCACTCAGGAGGCTTGGCTCGCCGACGATGTAAGTGAAGTGTTATTGTTACTTTTTATATACATTATGTTTAATTTGGTAAATGAAATAAGTATTTATGTCTTTGTTTTCCTTGATGTAGCACATCGACATGGCCATAGACTTGTTGCGCGATCGAGTTGAGAGATATCCACAATCATTCCACAAGCCTGGCCGCATAATACTGAACACCGAGTTCTTCCGTGTCGTTACCATTGAGTATCAGTCACTCCAGCTTTTAGGTAACGAGTACGTGCTTCTCG